ATATGGTGTTGGTCCTGCCACAATGGAAGCGCCCTTTTGAAAATGTCAGCACTGCCCAAAGAACAGGATGACGGCATTTTGCAGATGCAAAAGAGCTTCTTGGATGGGTCAGTACTTGTTCTACAATTTGTTATAGTTCATTCCTGTGTACCAAGAAGCAAGGAACAGCTCTTAGTAGTCATGGCTCTTACTTCTCTTTGTGTATTTGGCTTTTGAGACAGGGTCTCATTATGTAGTCCCAGTTAGCCTTGAATTTAGGATCCTCCTATGTCATGCACCCAGGTTCTGAGATCACACGGGTGTGCTGTCACACCTGGGTGCGTGTCCATTTTTATTTACCAGCTGTTTGCTTAGTGCTAGAACAGTATAACATACAGTGCTCATTTTTAATTGTTTTGCCAAGAGACAATGTATAATTACTAAGGATGTCAATGGACTGTTTTTAGAGATGCATGCTGAAGTATTTAGGAGGCAGGAGCATGATGCCTATAATATTAATTGCTGCCAAATCTAGGCTATGATGTACATCACTGTAGTATTTTTTTTCCTACATGTTGGATCTGTTTTACAATAAAATTTAAAAATGTAAATGAATAAATGAAAAACAGCAAAAGGAATAGGTCAATTATACTGGACCCAGTCGTGGTTACGGGCAACTTAATAACCATGGGCTGGCTTTTGTGCTCTGTGACCTCTGGTCCCACGCCTCCTGGCTAGGGCCAGTGGTCCTGCAGCAGTTGCCTCACTGATGGGGATTAAATGGTGCTAGGGTTGGGGGAAGTAGGCTGGGGAGAGACCTGTAGGGCTCTTAGTATGAGACCGTTAGGTAGGAAGTGCTCAGGGAAAATACACTGTTTTAAATTCCCGTTGGCTCTTTTAATCTTGTGTTCCTATTTTGATACCTAGAATTTACAAGACCATCCACAGGCCACCTTATGAAATTGCTAGAACTGAAGACTTATCGAGCAACTTCCTGTCCCTGCAGGAAATCCAGACTGCATACTCTAAGTTTAAACAGCTCTTTCTGATAGGTGAGAAGAATGCTGAGCAAAAACGTTCAGTCAAATGGGGAAAGACATGCCATGTGGAGCGGGTGAAAGTTGGTGTGGTTTCCCTGGGTTGGTGGTATGCAGGGCTCGTAGCCTCGAGGGTCACTTGTGTGGTGGACATGCCTGCTCACCGCTCTTCTCATCTTGGGCTTTTCACTGTGGCTGCCTTCCTGAGGCAGTGATCACACAGCCATCCTCTTCGCTCCTTTCCCAGCATTCCAGGTTGCCCTTGGGTGAGATTTGGCCTTCCCTTATTGTTTTTAGCCCTGCAGTACATACAGTCACTGACTAGAATATTTTTTCATTTATCTATTTATTTTCTCTTTTGTTTTGGTACCGGGAATCGAACTCGGGGCTTGTGCTGCTGAGCTATTTCCCTGGCCTGAATAATCATTTACAAGGTGAATGATCTTCCTTTCTTGGTGTACCTTTTCCCCTAAGTGGAAATGACTTAATTTTTTTTTTTTTTCTGAGTGGGCATGTCCCATTTCTTACGATGAAAAAGAATTGAATTAACTAGAAATATAAGAAGCAGAAAATAAAATGTGCCCGTTGCAGCACCTGCTCTCATTTCCCTGCCCTCACTCCTACTAGTAACAATCTGGACCTTCCTTGTTCATTTGGATCACGCTGTTACCTATTCATTCTCTCCATTCTTGAGTCTGCTTTATGAGTTTTATCATGCTTAGAGATAATTTTATAGCCCAGAAAATTCCTATTTTTTAAAATTTAATTTTATTTATTTATTTTTTTTCCGGTACTGGGGATTGAACTCAGGACCTTGTGCTTGCCACGCAGGCGCTTATTCTACTGAGCTATCTCCCCAGCCCTACATTTTAAAATTCTTAACTATTTTAAGATTCATTCCACTGATCTTTCTTGAGTTTCCATTGTATATAAAATAGATTCTTCAAAAAAAAGATTCTTTAGAAGTAGAGGCCTGGAAGAAAGAGCCTATTACTATTTGGTCCAGGACTGCAATTCTACAGTTTCATTATCATCTCCCAAGATTTCCAAGGCTATCTTCCTTTTATCGATTAGAGTTTGCAACTTTTAAATGTATAGTATTAGATTTTTATAAAATTCAAGGTTACCTATCCTGTAAGATGTGTAAGGGGAAATCCTGTTGTGGTATGCAAAGTACATGACTTGTGTTTTTAATCTTTTTTTTCCCCCCCTCCCCGGAAGTGGGGGTTGAACTCAGGCCCCTGCACTTGCCGGGCAAGCGTGTTTTTTATCTTGAGGCATAAGTGTGCATCCAGCAGATCCATCCCTTACCTTTCTTTTTTTTTTTTTTTTTTGCAGAACTGGGGATTGAACTCAAACCCTTGCGCTTGCCAGGGAAGTGCTTATTCCACTGAGCCATCTCCCTGGCCCC